CTTCAATTCACTATACATGCCCCCGTCCAAAGTTCTGGGGGTTCTGATCAGGAAAGGGCATTTGAAGCCCCTGGAGCCGCGGCCATTACCAGATAAACTTCCTACTTCCCATAACCCAGCCAAATACTGTCCCTTTCACCAGCAGCATGGTCATGACACCGACCAGTGCTATAGACTGCATCATGAGATCCAGGATCTCGTTGACAATAGGGTGATCGCACCTCCAGAAAAACCAAATGTCATAACCAACCCTCTCCCACCACATAACCAAGCTCCACTACTTAAACGCATCAACCTGATCCAAACTGGGGTTGTGTCATACGACCCTAACATATATATCACACCCTGCCACCTACCCAAGCCTGAGGTGTTCCTCCCGAACAGCACAAATTTATACATGTTGAGCACCTCCCAAACCCAACCCGAACTGGTGGTAGTGAATGTCGAAGACAAAACCAGGATGACTTTAGGGGCAGATGGGAATGATGATTCAGAGCCTGAGGGTTCTGCGAGCTTTGTGTACAACCCGACAGGTTATATCACATCAACAGACCATGCTAGGCCAAGGATAGAGTTGCTAGTTGGGGCAGATATCAGTGTGGTTTCGGAGGATGTACCTAATCAGGGGCTAGATGACCTAGTAGAGCTGGAAGAGGACATTGCAAATCTGTAGTTCTTTGAAGAGCACGACTCAGGGGATGTGAACATCAACTGGTTTGACTTGGATGGATCGGCAGAAAATACTGGGTGGCTCAGCGACCGGTCGGATGTTGTTGAAGAATCTCAGCCAGAACAGACATCGTCAGAAACGGGGACATCGGCAGTGGCCGGAATAACCGAGAATCAACAGGGATCACCAGAGAGCACCGATGTTAAGAATTTTGCTTGGGATCCGGGCAGTTTGAGCATAGAAGATACTGAACAACTGGCTGCACTGAAGCAGTTTGAGCAGAAAAAGATTGAAGATCTTGAGAGGGCTAGGAAGGCCAAAGCCCCTGCGGGGACGGAAGGTACTGTGAGCACAAGAACAGTTATAACGGAACCGGACAACTGCCTGTCGATTGCTGACGGCATGTAGTGGGAAGACGACGACTTACGTCTTGCCCACACGGATGAAGATTGGGGGCAGAACCAACCGGATGACACATGGTATGTGGAGGAGATTGACCATATGACCAGAAGTGGACGGTACTTCAAGCGCCCACACTTGGATCAACTAGAGGCGTCCGGGAAGGACAAAGAAGCGGAGAGGCAGAATGAAAAACTGCTTGAGGAGGAGGCTGTGCTGAAATAGCTTAAGAAAATCCATGCAGACATCTCTATCTAAGGATTGCTTATGGCCTCAAGAGTCCACAGACAAGCTGTCCTTTCTGCAATGGACAGGGCTAAACTTTCAATCGATACCACTCCTGAGCAGTTGGTAGGGTTGGTTTTCCCAGGAGGAGCTTCCCCGACCTTAACCTTCACTGATAAGGAACTGCCGCTTGAGGGCTCAAATCATAACAAACCGCTCTATATCTCTGTCGAGTGTAGAGAGAAATGGGTACCGGTGGTCCTAGTTGACACAGGGCCCACAATCAATGTATGTTCGTCAAGAACGGCGTATGCTATCGGGTTGAAGCTCATAGATTTTGTGCCTACGACCTAGGTAATATGGGCCTACAATGATACCAGTCGAGAGGTGATGGGGACTGTACAAATTAGGACTCAGGTTGGTCCGGGGCAACAGGACATTGAGTTCCATGTCTTAGACGTTCCAACCAGCTTCAATCTGCTCCTTGGGCGGCCGTGGCTGCACCAAGTGAAGGCTGTCTCTTCCACCTTACACCAAATGCTGAAGTACCCCCACGGGAAGGGGGTAGCGATTGTTTTTGG